CTAGCCTCCCCTCAACACCCTGGTCTCCCCTCAACACCCTAGCCTCCCCTCAACACCCTAGCCTCCCCTCAACACCCTAGCCTCCCCTCAACACCCTAGCCTCCCCTCAACACCCTAGCCTCCCCTCAACACCCTAGCCTCCCCTCAACACTCTAGCCTCCCCTCAACACCCTAGCCTCCCCTCAACACTCTAGCCTCCCCTCAACACTCTAGCCTCCCCTCAACACCCTGGTCTCCCCTCAACACCCTGGTCTCCCCTCAACACCCTAGCCTCCCCTCAACACTCTAGCCTCCCCTCAACACTCTAGCCTCCCCTCAACACCCTAGCCTCCCCTCAACACCCTGGTCTCCCCTCAACACCCTAGCCTCCCCTCAACACTCTCGCCTCCCCTCAACACTCTAGCCTCCCCTCAACACCCTAGCCTCCCCTCAACACCCTGGTCTCCCCTCAACACCCTAGCCTCCCCTCAACACCCTAGCCTCCCCTCAACACCCTAGCCTCCCCTCAACACCCTGGTCTCCCCTCAACACCCTAGCCTCCCCTCAACACCCTAGCCTCCCCTCAACACCCTAGCCTCCCTCAACACCCTAGCCTCCCCTCAACACCCTAGCCTCCCCTCAACACCCTGGTCTCCCCTCAACACCCTAGCCTCCCCTCAACACCCTAGCCTCCCCTCAACACCCTAGCCTCCCCTCAACACCCTAGCCTCCCCTCAACACCCTAGCCTCCCCTCAACACCCTGGTCTCCCCTCAACACCCTAGCCGCCCCTCAACACCCTAGCCTCCCCTCAACACCCTAGCCTCCCCTCAACACCCTAGCCTCCCCTCAACACTCTGGTCTCCCCTCAACACCCTGGTCTCCCCTCAACACCCTGGTCTCCCCTCAACACCCTGGTCTCCCCTCAACACCCTAGTCTCCCCTCAACACCCTGGTCTCCCCTCAACACCCTAGCCTCCCCTCAACACCCTAGTCTCCCCTCAACACCCTGGTCTCCTCTCAACACCCTCCCATCAACACCCTAGCCTCCCCTCAACACCCTGGTCTCCCCTCAACACCCTGGTCTCCCCTTAACACCCTCCCATCAACACCCTAGCCTCCCCTCAACACCCTAGCCTCCCCTCAACACCCTGGTCTCCCCTCAACACCCTGGTCTCCCCTCAACACCCTGGTCTCCCCTCAACACCCTGGTCTCCCCTCAACACCCTAGTCTCCCCTCAACACCCTAGCCTTCCCTCAACACCCTGGCCTCCCCTCAACACCCTGGTCTCCCCTCAACACCCTAGTCTCCCCTCAACACCCTAGCCTTCCCTCAACACCCTAGCCTCTCCTCAACACCCTCCCCTCAACACCCTGGTCTCCCCTCAACACCCTGGTCTCCCCTTAACACCCTCCCATCAACACCCTAGCCTCCCCTCAACACCCTAGCCTCCCCTCAACACCCTGGTCTCCCCTCAACACCCTGGTCTCCCCTCAACACCCTGGTCTCCCCTCAACACCCTCCCATCAACACCCTCCCCTCAACACCCTGGTCTCCCCTGAACACCCTCCCATCAACACCCTAGCTTCCCCTCAACACCCTAGCCTCCCCTCTACACCCTGGTCTCTCCCCTACAGAAAGGGGAGACTGAGAGTATTATAAACAGAAAGACTGGCTCAAATTGTTACAGCATAAAGAAAGCGTTTCCACGAATGTTGCGAGATATGTGAAGGTGCGCATGGCGGCCCTCACTCGTTCCTGTGTTTACAGCTGGTCACCTGGCGGCGGTCCTGGCGGTGTATACAAAAGACTGTGGTTGGCACCCCTGGGTGGTGCGCGTCTCTCATATACACCAACTCCTGCACGTTTGTTTGTCTGTGGGAGCCTGGTCAGGTGAACCTCAAGGTGCAGCACCGTCCTGGGTCCCGCCTGTAGGTCTTGTTGCAGGTGGCTGGTGGTGTGGGGCGTGGCTGGTGGTGTGGGGCGTGGCTGGTGGTGCTGGGCGTGGCTGGTGGTGCTGGGCGTGGCTGGTGGTGCTGGGCGTGGCTGGTGGTGTGGGGCGTGGCTGGTGGCTGGTGGTGCTGGGCGTGGCTGGTGGTGCTGGGCGTGGCTGGTGGTGCTGGGCGTGGCTGGTGGTGCTGGGCGTGGCTGGTGGTGCTGGGCGTGGCTGGTGGCTGGTGGTGCTGGGCGTGGCTGGTGGCTGGTGGTGCTGGGCGTGGCTGGTGGCTGGTGGTGCTGGGCGTGGCTGGTGGTGTGGGGCGTGGCTGGTGGTGTGGGGCGTGGCTGGTGGTGCTGGGCGTGGCTGGTGGTGCTGGGCGTGGCTGGTGGTGCTGGGCGTGGCTGGTGGTGCTGGGCGTGGCTGGTGGCTGGTGGTGCTGGGCGTGGCTGGTGGCTGGTGGTGCTGGGCGTGGCTGGTGGTGCTGGGCGTGGCTGGTGGTGCTGGGCGTGGCTGGTGGTGCTGGGCGTGGCTGGTGGTGCTGGGCGTGGCGGGTGGTGCTGGGCGTGGCTGGTGGTGCTGGGCGTGGCTGGTGGTGCTGGGCGTGGCTGGTGGTGCTGGGCGTGGCTGGTGGTGCTGGCCGTGGCTGGTGGTGTGGGGCGTGGCTGGTGGTGCTGGGCGTGGCTGGTGGCTGGTGGTGTGGGGCGTGGCTGGTGGTGTGGGGCGTGGCTGGTGGTGCTGGGCGTGGCTGGTGGTGCTGGGCGTGGCTGGTGGTGCTGGGCGTGGCTGGTGGTGTGGGGCGTGGCTGGTGGCTGGTGGTGCTGGGCGTGGCTGGTGGTGCTGGGCGTGGCTGGTGGTGCTGGGCGTGGCTGGTGGCTGGTGGTGCTGGGCGTGGCTGGTGGCTGGTGGTGCTGGGCGTGGCTGGTGGTGTGGGGCGTGGCTGGTGGTGTGGGGCGTGGCTGGTGGTGCTGGGCGTGGCTGGTGGTGCTGGGCGTGGCTGGTGGTGCTGGGCGTGGCTGGTGGAGCGGGGCGTGGCTGGTGGCTGGTGGTGCGGGGCGTGGCTGGTGGCTGGTGGTGCGGGGCGTGGCTGGTGGTGCTGGGCGTGGCTGGTGGTGCTGGGCGTGGCTGGTGGTGCTGGGCGTGGCTGGTGGTGCTGGGCGTGGCTGGTGGTGCTGGGCGTGGCTGGTGGTGCTGGGCGTGGCTGGTGGTGCTGGGCGTGGCTGGTGGTGCTGGGCGTGGCTGGTGGTGCTGGCCGTGGCTGGTGGTGTGGGGCGTGGCTGGTGGTGCTGGGCGTGGCTGGTGGTGCTGGGCGTGGCTGGTGGTGCTGGGCGTGGATGGTGGTGCTGGGCGTGGCTGGTGGTGCTGGGCGTGGCTGGTGGTGCTGGGCGTGGCTGGTGGTGCTGGGCGTGGCTGGTGGTGCTGGGCGTGGCTGGTGGTGCTGGGCGTGGCTGGTGGTGCTGGGCGTGGCTGGTGGCGCTGGGCGTGGCTGGTGGTGGTGGGCGTGGCTGGTGGCTGGTGGTGCTGGGCGTGGCTGGTGGTGCTGGGCGTGGCTGGTGGTGCTGGGCGTGGCTGGTGGTGCTGGGCGTGGCTGGTGGTGCTGGGCGTGGCTGGTGGTGCTGGGCGTGGCTGGTGGTGCTGGGCGTGGCTGGTGGTGCTGGGCGTGGCTGGTGGTGCTGGGCGTGGCTGGTGGTGTGGGGCGTGGCTGGTGGTGCTGGGCGTGGCTGGTGGTGCTGGGCGTGGCTGGTGGTGCTGGGCGTGGCTGGTGGTGCTGGGCGTGGCTGGTGGCTGGTGGTGCTGGGCGTGGCTGGTGGTGCTGGGCGTGGCTGGTGGTGCTGGGCGTGGCTGGTGGTGTGGGGCGTGGCTGGTGGTGCTGGGCGTGGCTGGTGGTGCTGGGCGTGGCTGGTGGTGCTGGGCGTGGCTGGTGGTGCTGGGCGTGGCTGGTGGTGCTGGGCGTGGCTGGTGGTGCTGGGCGTGGCTGGTGGCTGGTGGTGCTGGGCGTGGCTGGTGGTGCTGGGCGTGGCTGGTGGTGCTGGGCGTGGCTGGTGGTGTGGGGCGTGGCTGGTGGTGCTGGGCGTGGCTGGTGGTGCTGGCCGTGGCTGGTGGTGCTGGGCGTGGCTGGTGGCTGGTGGTGCTGGGCGTGGCTGGTGGTGCTGGGCGTGGCTGGTGGTGCTGGGCGTGGCTGGTGGTGCTGGGCGTGGCTGGTGGTGCTGGGCGTGGCTGGTGGTGCTGGGCGTGGCTGGTGGTGCTGGGCGTGGCTGGTGGTGCTGGGCGTGGCTGGTGGTGTTGGGCGTGGCTGGTGGTGTGGGGCGTGGCTGGTGGTGCTGGGCGTGGCTGGTGGTGCTGGGCGTGGCTGGTGGTGCTGGGCGTGGCTGGTGGTGCTGGGCGTGGCTGGTGGTGCTGGGCGTGGCTGGTGGTGCTGGGCGTGGCTGGTGGTGCTGGGCGTGGCTGGTGGTGCTGGGCGTGGCTGGTGGTGCTGGGCGTGGCTGGTGGCGCGGGCTCTGCGTGTTGAGAGTGAACTAGGGAGGAGACATGTGGGGCGCGGAGAGCTGCTGTAACACATTCTCTGTGACTGATTACTTGATGAGTTGACTGTAAAGTGTGTTGGGGTACGAGGCTACACTGTTCGTACACACGTGGTGTAAAGTGTGTGTTGGGGTACGAGGCTACACTGTTCGTACACACGTGGTGTAAAGTGTGTGTTGGGGTACGAGGCTACACAGTGTTCGTACACACGTGGTGTAAAGTGTGTGTTGGGGTACGAGGCTACACAGTGTTCGTACACACGTGGTGTGAAGTGTGTGTTGGGGTACGAGGCTACACAGTGTTCGTACACACGTGGTGTGAAGTGTGTGTTGGGGTACGAGGCTACACAGTGTTCGTACACACGTGGTGTGAAGTGTGTGTTGGGGTACGAGGCTACACAGTGTTCGTACACACGTGGTGTGAAGGGTGTGTTGGGTACGAGGCTACACAGTGTTCGTACACACGTGGTGTGAAGTGTGTGTTGGGGTACGAGGCAACACAGTGTTCGTACACACATGCACCAGTCTCCACAGTACACTAATACTTGTGTTTCTCTTCCCAGGACGACAGTGATATGGAGACGGAGCCGACGACGCATGGCGATGTTCCTGCTCCAGTCCTCTCCTCCACTTCCCCCACTTCCTGCTCCTCCTCCATCTCCGCCCCCGTCCCCGCCTCCTCCGCCTCCACCTCCTGCTCTTCCTCTGCCACTGAGGCAGCCATGATAGACAAGCGCCGAGGGCGGACGGGCTGGCCGGAGACGGTTTGGGCCCAGGAGCTGAAGCACTAATATACCTCTAGCAGCTGCAGCACTCTCCCTCTTCAGCCGCAGCATTCATCACTGTTCAGCTGCAGCACTCTCCCTCTTCAGCCGCAGCATTCATCACTGTTCAGCTGCAGCATTCTCCCTCTTCAGCCGCAGCACTCATCACTGTTCAGCTGCAGCACTCTCCCTCTTCAGCCGCAGCACTCATCACTGTTCAGCTGCAGCACTCTCCCTCTTCAGCCGCAGCATTCATCACTGTTCAGCTGCAGCATTCTCCCTCTTCAGCCGCAGCATTCATCACTGTTCAGCTGCAGCACTCTCCCTCTTCAGCCGCAGCATTCATCACTGTTCAGCTGCAGCATTCTCCCTCTTCAGCCGCAGCACTCATCACTGTTCAGCTGCAGCACTCTCCCTCTTCAGCTGCAGCACTCATCACTGTTCCTCTCCTCTGAAGGCCCAGACCGATCCCACTGTGGGTGACCTGACCCGTTCTGTACTCCACACTGAAACACTTTGATACCAACTGAAGCTTTCGGTTGCTATGATGCTTCAGCAGCTGTAGAATAATCCCCCTAGCACCTCAAGACGAGTGCTAGGATGTCTTAGGAGAAGCACATGAGCATGCTACCACACAGCACTTGGGCTGCACAACAGGAGTGAACAGTTCTGCTGTTCACACTAGATAATGTGTGTGTGTGTGTGGTCACCAGTGATCCTATATGTTATTATTGTTCAACAAAATCATTACTTTTTCCTAGGCCAACTAAGCCTTTGGGCTTGTGTAGAGAGAGATGTTGTTCCCGCAGATGGCTGGGAGAGATGACTTTATTTATTTGTTTATGTCTTTGTTGTCTTGTTTGTTTTGTTTATGTTTCAAAGGTGCAGGTGAGTCACACGGACGAGTAATGTGTTGTGATCTTTGTGTGTGAGTAGTGTACATTAGTTACTGTGTGACCCGCCTGCTTTACCTGTCATCTTTACCCACCTGTCACCTGCCTCACCTGTCACCTCCCACACCTGTCACCTGTCACCTCCCACACCTGTCACCTCCCACACCTGTCATCTCCGTCACCTGTCACCTTCGTCACCTGTCACCTCCCACACCTGTCACCTCCCTCACCTGTCACCTCCCACACCTGTCACCTGCCTCACCTGTCATATCCGTCACCTGTCACCTCCCACACCTGTCAGCTGTCACCTCCCACACTTGTCACCTCCCACATCTGTCACCTCCCCCACTTGTCACCTCCGTCACCTGTCACCTCTCACACCTGTCACCTCCCACACCTGTCACCTCGCACACCTGTCACCTCCCTCACCTGTCACCTAATGGCTAGGCTTCTTGTGGCTGGGCTACTGGGGGAGGCTAGAGGTATTACGCTTCCTCAACGTCTCCTGTGCTCTGGGGATTTACGAGGCCACTGTCAGACTTCAAGGGACTTGTATTGTTGTGGAAAGACCGCTTGTAGTGGCCACTGAGGAGTGTCACAAGGCTCCAGACGCTTGTAGTGGCCACTGAGGAGTGACACAAGGCTCCAGACGCTTGTAGTGGCCACTGAGGAGTGACACAAGGCTCCAGACGCTTGTAGTGGCCACTGAGGAGTGTCACAAGGCTCCAGACGCTTGTAGTGGCCACTGAGGAGTGACACAAGGCTCCAGACGCTTGTAGTGGCCACTGAGGAGTGACGCAAGGCTCCAGACGCTTGTAGTGGCCACTGAGGAGTGACACAAGGCTCCAGACGCTTGTAGTGGCCACTGAGGAGTGACACAAGGCTCCTGACGCTTGTAGTGGCCACTGAGGAGTGTCACAAGGCTCCAGACGCTTGTAGTGGCCACTGAGGAGTGACACAAGGCTCCAGACGCTTGTAGTGGCCACTGAGGAGTGACACAAGGCTCCAGACGCTTGTAGTGGCCACTGAGGAGTGACACAAGGCTCCAGACGCTTGTAGTGGCCACTGAGGAGTGACACAAGGCTCCAGACGCTTGTAGTGGCCACTGAGGAGTGACACAAGGCTCCAGACGCTTGTAGTGGCCACTGAGGAGTGACACAAGGCTCCTGACGCTTGTAGTGGCCACTGAGGAGTGACACAAGGCTCCAGACGCTTGTAGTGGCCCGTGAGGTTATAAAAGTACGTTAAATAATGTAGAATTGTCCCCCATACTGGGTGCCAGGGGCCCCGTCAACAGTGTTGCCATACACTAAGTATTTCCTAATACTTACCATCATATACATATATATTGGATGTGTATTTCTGGCACAAACTTTAGTTTGTATTGATGATGTAATTTATTCGGTGTATGATGCAAGCAATGATTGGTGTGGGGCTGTGTGTGTTGCCCTGGCTGGCTGGTGCGTGTCGTCGGTCGCTCTTGCCCGCCCTGTCATGTCATGCTGGCTGTATGGCCTGTCATATCGCCTGTATGGCTGTCATATCGCCTGTATGGCCTGTCATATCGCCTGTATGGCCTGTCATATCGCCTGTATGGCCTGTCATATCGCCTGTATGGCCTGTCATATCGCCTGTATGGCTGTCATATCGCCTGTATGGCTGTCATATCGCCTGTATGGCTGTCATATCGCCTGTATGGCCTGTCATATCGCCTGTATGACCTGTCATATCGCCTGTATGGCTGTCATATCGCCTGTATGGCTGTCATATCGCCTGTATGGCTGTCATATCGCCTGTATGGCCTGTCATATCGCCTGTATGGCCTGTCATATCGCCTGTATGGCCTGTCATATCGCCTGTATGGCCTGTCATATCGCCTGTATGGCCTGTCATATCGCCTGTATGGCCTGTCATATCGCCTGTATGGCCTGTCATATCGCCTGTATGGCCTGTCATATCGCCTGTATGGCCTGTCATATCGCCTGTATGGCCTGTCATATCGCCTGTATGGCCTGTCATATCGCCTGTATGGCCTGTCATATCGCCTGTATGGCCTGTCATATCGCCTGTATGGCCTGTCATATCGCCTGTATGGCCTGTCATATCGCCTGTATGGCCTGTCATATCGCCTGTATGGCCTGTCATATCGCCTGTATGGCCTGTCATATCGCCTGTATGGCCTGTCATATCGCCTGTATGGCCTGTCATATCGCCTGTATGGCCTGTCATATCGCCTGTATGGCCTGTCATATCGCCTGTATGGCCTGTCATATCGCCTGTATGGCCTGTCATGTCAAAATGTTACGCTGCCTGTCATGTGATATATCATGCGACCTGTCATTCATGTTGACATGTTGTCTGTCATGTGTAACGTGACCGTCTGTGTTACCTGTCATGTAGCCCGCTATGTTGCCCAGCATTTAATCTGTCATATTACCACTATGTTGTCCTGTCATGAGGACAGGACAACATGAGGCATGATATTTTGACTGTCAAGCAGTTTATCTTGTGATCTGGCATATGGAATGATATGTGGCATAATATGTGGCCTGTCTTGTGAGCTGTCCTCATACCTTAGGTGACCTGTCATATACTGTCATGCGGCCTGTCATATGATCACAACTCCCAGTAAAGGTAACTGGAGTGATCTGGAGGATTGATATGTTATTTGTAGGCCAGGGAACACACACACACACACACACACACACACACACACACACACACACACACACACACACACACACACACACACACACACACACACACACACACACACACACACGCCCAAATGAGCCACAGAAATATTAGAAAGAACTTTTTTAGTGTCAGAGTGGTTGACAAATGGAATGCATTAGGCAGTAATGTGGTGGAGGCTGACTCCATACACAGTTTCAAGTGTAGATATGATAGAGCCCAATAGGCTCAGGAATCTGTACACCTGTTGATTGACGGTTGAGAGGCGGGACCAAAGAGCCAGAGCTCAACCCCCGCAAGCACAACTAGGTGAGTACAACTAGGTGAGTACACTACCACTCGCAAACAGAGTGGTAGACGGTTGGAACAAGTTAGGGGAGAAGGTGGTGGAGGCCAAGACCGTCAGTAGTTTCAAAGCGTTATATGACAAAGAGTGCTGGGAAGACGGGACACCACGAACGTAGCTCTCACCCTGTAATTAAACTTAGGTAATTACACACACACACACACACACACACGGGGGGGGGGGTGTACCAGGTTGTGAGAGAGTAAAGGAGAGGCCTCACTCTGTGTACTCAGTTCCTCAGTTACAATAAAGTTAACTATTACGTTTCTGTCTGTTTCATTGGTCCCGTTGTTGTGATTGTTATTGATGCGTTGTTACTGTCACCCTGCCAGTCTGCTTCCTCATACCTGCTACAGTTGACATAATTCTCGGTGATACTTGCAACAGTTAATATAATTCTTGCAAATGCTAAACCCTTACAATGAACTGAGCGTTGACTGGGGCATGTTAATGGTGAGATATTAAGGGATCAGAGCCCAAGTAATGGTCAGGGGGGGGGGACTAGAGCCCAGGGGTCAGGGGCCAGATTCACGAAGCAGTTACGCAAGCACTTACGAACCTGTACATCTTTTCTCAATCATTGGCGGCTTTGTTTACAATTATTAAACAGTTAATGAGCTCCGAAGCCCCAGGAGGCTGTTTATAACAATAACAACAGTTGATTGGCAAGTTTTCATGCTTGTGAACTGTTTAATAAATGTAACCAAAGTCGTCAAAGATTGAGGAAAGATGTACACGTTCGTAAGTACTTGCGTAACTGCTTCGTGAATCTGGCCCCAGATTCACGAATGAACTTACGAATGTTTTTCTTCTTAGCTACGAATGTTTTCCTTCTTAGCGCCTTCGTGGCGGCTACGTCGGTATTCAGGTAGCTACACTAAGAAGAAAAACCTTCGTAAGTTTGGTCCGGGATCTAAGTGTACTGTCGACCACTCGTAGCTTTACGTAAACTGGATATAACACACTTTTTCTTTACTACATAACACTGGGATCGATTTTAAGATTTTGGAACGTAAACAAAAGATTATAGCTGGTGAATCTCGTGAAGAGGAGTCCTTCGTGTTAGTTATATATGCATTCTCTGCTTGAAACTTGGGGTAAATATGTCTTTCATGATATTATAATTAGTTTTATAATTGCAAGATATTATACCCGTAGTTATTAAGTAAATAAACACTGGTGAACATGAAATATGAGAGAAGGTGATGAGCCCTGCCTGATGGGATCATTTACTATCACCAAATGCCCCTGTTCACCTAGTAGTAAGGGTGTACCTTAGCTATACATACCCATTTCTAATTTATTTAGTTTGGTTTAATTTTGAAATTAAATCTGGGTGAGACATAAAATAAAAATATGCTGCACAAATGATGTTAGGTAAGGAGAAGGGTAAAAATGTCACAAACTTTATTCATTGAATACTTAAAGCTATAATTATGACTATATGGACTATTAAAAAAGAGAGAGTGAAGTAGGGGTCCAAGACCTCTTCCTGTTACACAATTTGGCTGTGTGTAACCAAACTAGAAGTGCTCTACAAATCAAGGGACCCAGAATGTGGAATGACCTCCCGAATCATGTCAAAGACTGTACCTCTCTCAACCAGTTTAAGAGTAAAACTAAGTACTATCTAATTAACTCCATGTAACCTACCTTACCCCCTAAATGTCAACCCATGTCTTGCTATTTTTTAAACAATGCTGTTCACCAACGTGTACAATTGCTGATTTCTTCTATGTTACCCCCCGTTTTTTTTTTTTATTCCTTCTTTCAACACAATTTATACCTAATCCCGATTACTATTAAGTTTAAGTCTAAGTGTTTTTCCCCCCACACCTTGCCCGAAATGCTATGAGTATTAGTGGCTTTAGGTATTGTATGTACTAGCTCTCTCTATAAATCCAACATTGTTTGTAAATCAACTGTATGTACTTTTCCTGAATAAAATTTATTTATTATTATTTATTTATTAATCAGTAAGTAAGTATTAAAAGAAGGCACCAAGCCGGGAAGGCTATGTAGCACCATTGTGTGTAACAATAAACCAAATTTTGTTTAACAAATAATGCACCTGTATGGTAAAACAAATCCTGTCAGCTGTAAAAATATTGATGCAGTTATTTAAATAAAAAAATATAATGAAAGAAATATTACTGGTTTATTTTTATCCTATCTTTTTTGTACTGTACAGTATATCCAAGGAAGTGAAAAATTGAGACATAATGCACAATTTAATGAATGATTAAAAAATGATTACCATGGATTAGCAGTTCAAAAGAAATATGACTATTACATATCAACATGAGATCTTAATGAGCCATGGTTAACATGATTTAATAAGGATAATACAGTATTTGTAAAAATACAAACTATAATTTAAAATCTTTATTACTGATTTTTTTATTAAGAAGATTAGGTATACACAGCAATGTGCTGCTACCCTATTCTATATGGAATATTACACAGTGTAGATAAAAAACTAGCTATAAGTTTATCTAATACTCCCATCTCACAGGATGGTTATGCATACATGGAATCAATTTAGAAAATACCAGCCTCAATACAAAAAACAAATCAACTCTGACTAAACAACTCTTAGCAGTTTTCACAGGAGCTAAGCACTGAATCATGGAAACATTATATTATAATTACTCTTACCAGTTTCTACAAGACTCCTCTCAAACAATGTATTTTTTAACATGTTTAGGTATACACAGCAATGTGCTGCTTCCCTATTCTGTATGAAGGACCACACAGTGTAGATCAAAAACCAGCTACAAGATCATCCAACATCCTCACCTCACAGGATGGCCAGTCATACATGGAATCAGGAGAGAACAAAATACTTAATGCTGATCTATTAGCCTCCACTGGCAAAATCTGGGTGCAGCACAAGAATATCTTCCAATATTCCTGAGTGTATGAAGTAATTACAGAGCTCAAAGTACCTCATACCATTTGGTATGAAGTCACTGATAACAGGGCAATCACAGATATAGTGTTGGAGAGTATGTTCTCTCAAGTAGGACTGAAAACAGATGTTTTTTCCCACCAAGAGGTCTATAAACCCATGGAACCGCCTACCCGCCGAAGCCGTAAATGCCAAATTCCAGCTAAAAAATATCATTAAGACAATTGGCGGGCCCTTTAACAAGCCGCCGGCTTTCTGTCTTCGTCGAGGCCACTAGATAGTTAGTGGCCCTTGGGTAAATTCAGTAAATATATACAATAATTGTCAGCGCATCTTCCGAGCAACAAGGACAGCTACACAGTATCTCTTAGAATTACGTAGGTAAACAACAAATGTAACATATTTGTTTACTACAATGTCGGTGCTCGCTGTAGAAGTTGAGAAAACACAGTTTTACTTCGAAATATACTAATTTTATAAGAAAATTCGACGTAAATAGGAGGCAGTAGAGCTCCTATAAGCCAGCGCTAAATCTTCAATATGAAGAATGTTGCTGCTCTCTGATTGGCCAAACGAAACACAGTAGTGACCTCTATCGGCACGCAGGTGAACCAGACCCAGAACCCAAATATCTTCCTAAGTGAACCTACGTGAATTGCACCTAAGTATCTTCTTAGGGCATACTTTGGAACCTTCGTAGCAAACCTACTTACGCAACCCGTCCTCGACTCGAGTCCATTACATCCAGCGGTCGACCCCACAGACGCATTCATAAATTTTTACATGCTGTTCCTTCAAAACGGGAATTTTCTCAAGTATAAATTAATATTATAATATATTAGCATATTGTGTATATATAGGCATAGGATAGGTTAGGTTAGGTGTTTAGGTTCTGTTGGTGATTATTTGTATTTGTAGTACGTGGGTGAAGCATTTATAGCGTTGTGATTCGAACAAAATTCGTCAGTGAAGCACTTGTTCCGGATATGTTCGAACGTCAGCAGTTGTGAGTCATGTGTAAACCGCTTTTCATTCATAAACAGGGGGTTTGGCGGGTGCATGGAATCACTTTTGGATCTTTGTTTGGAGGATGGGCTGACTTACGAAGAAATACATGGAGCTTCGTGAATCTAGGTCCAGAATCACGAAGCAGTTACGTAAGTTTTCCTTCTTAGCATCGTAGCGGCTACGCTGGTATTCAGGTAGGCGTCAAAGTATCAAAATCTTTGTAAGTACACACCGTCGCACTAAAGTTGCTCTCGACCACTCGTAGCTTTACGTAAACTGGATATAACTCAATTTTTCTCTACTACACAACTCGGAGGATGGATTTTATTATAAACAAACATTTTAGCTGGCGAGTCTCATCAAGAAGAGTCCTTGTGTTGGCTATATATGCATTCTCTGCTTGATATGTGTAGTAAATATGTATTTTATGATATTAGAATTAGTTTTATAATAGCAAGATATTATACCAGTAGTTATTATGTAAATATACACCGGTGAACATGAAATATGAGAGAAGGTGATGAGCCCAGGCTGGTGGGAGCATTTGCTCTCACCAAATGCACCTGTTCACCTACCAATAAGTATAGCTAGGGGGGTGTACCTTAGCTATACATACCCATTTTTAATTTGTTTTGTTTAGTTTTATTTTGAAATTAAATCTGGGTGAGACATAAAAGAAAAATATGCTGCACAAATAATGTTAGGTAAGGGTAAGGGTAAGGGTAAGGGTAAGGGTAAGGATAGAAACTTCAAAAACGTTTGTTATTGAATATTTAGGTCAATAATTATGACTATATGGACTCTTATGGCCTGTTAAGAAAG